TAGGGGTCCCAGCCCCACACCAAGCTCCCCAGCCCAGGGTTCCAGTGCTGGGAAGAGAAGTCTCCACAACTTCTGGTTGTGAAAACCAGCAGAGATTGTGGCTGAATGAGATGGAAGGCGGCTAGAGTCCCAGGTGTTCCTCTTAAAGGTCCCATGCATGAACTTACTCACAGACAGACTCACTTTCTCTGAGCTACAGTGCTGGGAACATATAGGGAGGAACTCAATTGTCTGGCTGAAGGGCAAGAGCTGGAGGGGCAGGTCTCTCCCAGACAGAAGTGCTGGCAGAATCCATTATTTCTTTGTTGAACCATTCCCCATCTCCCAGTGTGCAGATGCACACAGCTGCCATATCTGTCTCCATCAATCTGGCTAACACTATTCACTCCACCCTGGTGATTCCCTGAGACCCTGCTCTACCAAACTTTTGGACCCACACAAGTTGCTTCCAGTGGCTTCTCCATACAAATGACCTGTCTTGGCTCACACTGCAGAATTTCCTAAAATCTCTCAAAGGTTCACATAACCCAAATAAGCAGCATCTGGCCTTGGTGTGTCCTGTACCTCTTGCTAAGCAGCCCCAAGCCCAACATTAGTGGCAGCCATGCCTCAGTTCCCAGCCTGGCCTCTTGAAGTATCTCCAAGCTCAAAGCAGGTGGCTGCTGTATGTGGATTGCTTTGTGGCTCATGCCAGGTGACCCCAGGCAGGGCACAGGCTGCAGTTGAACTAGGCCTGCAGCAGGGCCTCTCACAGAAGGCTCCAGAGTGAGTACATCCAGTGGCCAGCTTCAGACTGAGCCAGAGCATCACCTGGCTGCCTCTATGGGTGACACACCCAAAGGACAGACTGGGCAGGCACCAGAGCTCTGCTAAAGTGAACCCTGCTCCATAGTGTCAGCTCCTGTACAAAAGCTCCTCCACTGTAGTCACAGCCAGTCCTCAATCAATCAACCTGAGGGTCAATCCCTCTCACTGATGTGCAAACAGCAACCAAAGCTCAACTACAACAGGAGAGCACACACAACCCACACAAGGGACACACCTAGGGCACCCAGCTCAGGTGACCAGGGAGGCTGTGCCATTGGGCCCCATTGGACACCTACTACATATGGCCACTCTACTAAGACAGAGAAACATAGCAGCCCTACCTAACACATAGAAACAAACACAGGGAGGCAGCCAAAATGGGGAGACAAAGAAACATGTCTCAAATGAAAGAATGGAACAAAGCTCCAGAAAAAGAGCTAAATAAAATGGAGACAAGCAATCTACCAGATGCAGAGTTCAAAACACTGGTTGTAAGTGCTCAATGAACTTAGGGGAAGAGTAGATGAACTCAGTAAGAACCTTAACAAAGAGATAGTAAACATAAAAATGGAGATAGAAAACATAAAAAAAACAGTCAGAAGTGAAGAATACAATAGTGGTAATGAAGAATACATTCGAGGGAATCAACAGTAGATTAGATGAAGCAGAGGATCAAATCAGTGATTTACAAGTTACTGTAGAACAAAACATTGAATCAAAACAGAAACTAAAATAAAAAATAAATGAGGATAATTTAAGGGGCCTCTGGGACAACATCAAGCATACCAGCATTCACATCATTGGGGTACCAGAAAGAGAAGAGAGTAAGGAAATGAAAACCTATTGGAAGAAATAATGATGGAAAACTTCCCCAACCTGGCAAAGGAAATAGACATACAAGCCTAGGAAGTGCAGAGAGTCCGAGGCAAGATAAACCCAAAGAGGCCCACACCAAGATACATCCTAATTATAATGTTAAAGGCTAAAGACAAAGACAGAATCTTAAAAGCTGCAAGAGAAAAGCAGTTAGTACCTGCAAGGGTGCTCCCATAAGACTGTCAGCCGATTTCTCAACAGAAACTTTGCAGGCCAGCAGGGATTGACACAAAATATTCAATGTGATAAAAAGCAAGAAACTACAACCAAAATTACTCTATCCAGCAAAGCTATTATTTAGAAACAAAGGACAGATAAAGAGCTTCTCAGACAAGAAAAATCTTAAGGAGTTTATCACCACCAAACCAGTATTACAAGGAATGTTAGAGAGACTTTTTTAAAAAGAAGAAAAAGAAGGGGGAAAAAGGTAAAAAATATGAACGGTAAAAGGCAATTACTATACAATTATACCTATCAAAAATTACTTTAAATGTAGATGGATTAAATGCTCCAATCAAAAGATAGAGTGGCTGAATGTGTAAGAAAACAAGACCCCTACATATGCTGCCTATAAGAAACTCACTTCAGATCAAAAGACACACACAGACTGAAAGTAAAGGGGTGGAAAAAGATATTTCACGGAAAAAAAAAAAAAGCTGGGATAGCAATGCTTATACCAGACAAAATAGACTTTAAAACAAAAGCCATAACAAGAGATGAAGAAGGACCAGTAATCCTACTTCTGGGTATTTTTCCAAAGAAACCCAAAAAGAGACATATGAGTGTGCATCCATATGTTCATTGCAGCATTATTTACAATAGCCAAGATATGGAGGCAATCTGGGTATCTACCAATGGATGAATAGATAAAGAAGAGGTGGTACGTATATACAATGGAATATTACTCAGCCATAAAGAAGAATGAAATCTTGGCATCACAAAAACACAGATGAAACTAGAGGGTATTGTGCTGAGTGAAGTAAGTCAGACAGAGAAAAACAAACGCCATATAATTTCACTTATATGTGGAATTAAAGAACAAAATAAACAAACAAAACAGAAACAGACTCATAGATACAGAGAACATTTTGATATTTGCCAACTGGGAGGGGTGTTGAGGGGTGGGTTAAAAATGGGAAGGGCTTAAGGAGCACAAATTGGTTGTTACAAAGTAGTCATGGGGATGTAAGGTATAGCATAAGGAATATAGTCAATAATATTGTAATAACTATGTATGGTGTCAGATGGGTACTAGATTTATCAGGATGATCACTTCATAAGTTATATAAATGTCTACTCACTATGTGACCTAAACTAATATAATAGTGTATGTCAACTCTAATTGAAAAATAAAACAATTATTTTTTAAAAATTAAGTTAAAAAGAGCACAGTCTGAGAAAACAAATCTGGGTTCAAGCCCTGCCACTCTGCTCACTAGATGTGTGACACAGGAGAAGTTATTTTACTTCTTTGAGCCTTAGTTTCCTCTTCTATAAAGTAGAGGGCGGGGGGTGGTGTGGGGGGGAATACACTTACAGATGTTTCGTGAGGATAAAAATGAGATCATACGTGAAAATTTCGTAGCCTAGTGCCTGACATATAGTAAGCACTAAAAAATTATTTTCATTATTATTTTAATGAATATAACTCTTAGTCCATAAACTCAAGTGTATAAGAGATACCACAGTTCTTTAAATCATCTTCAATCTGACTCTGTTGTACAGACAGGACATTCAGTCTCCATTACTGGGGCTTCCCCCAGAGAAGTGCCAGGGTTCAGGGTCTCTCCGGCCCTCACCAGCCCATCATTCTTGCCTGCATGATCCCTTTGGGTCTAGGGCTGTGCTCCTCATGCCTCATCTGGACACAAGAACCCTGGTCTCTCAGTCGCAAATCCTGTGGAACCATACACAGCCACCCCTGTGGGGTCCAACCACTTCCTACAGCACCACTCCTGTCTCTGGCATTCATTCATCCCCTATTTATTCATTGCCCTCAGAGGCTCTCCTCCCATCCAGAGCACCCATCCTAACCTTTCCTGTTCACTTATGGTTTTACAAAAGGCAAAAAGAGCAGCTATCTTCAAGTAGCTTTGGGTTCCTGTCCCACTATAAGTCCTGAGGCCAAGAGATATAATGCCCTGGCTATCTGCTTGTAACTGAAAAAAAGAAAAAGTGCCAAGAGCAAAACACAAATTATTGTCTTGGCAAAAGTATCCTGTCGCATTAGTTATAAATATGCCTAAGCTTTGGTTCTTCTTCTAGCTAGACACTGAAACCACCTAAAGAGCTTTACAACTGCTGGTGTTCATTTTCCACTCCTAGAGTTATTGATAAGGGGCTTCACCAAGGCTTCAAATGTGTCACAGGATTAAGAACCCCTGCTTTACAGGTTTCATGCACAAAAGTCTGTCTTCCCCAACTAACCTGGGGACCTTAAGCAACTAGAATAATTTCATATGACCAGCGATGGGATAACAATGCTAGAGGGGCACTCAAAGAGCAGTGGGTCAAGTTCCTCCATTTTATAGAAAGGAAAACCAAAGTCCTTGGTAGAGAAAAGAAGAAAAGGTAGCAAAGACTCTGCAATGTACCAGGGTGAAGGGAGGGATGCTGGAATGAGGGAGAAAACCACAGTTATGTAACTAGAGGTCTGGAGGCATTTTGAGGACTTGAGGTCCTCTCTTGAGGTTTCTAGATCTGTTTTCATGTTGAAAGCACAACCCTGAACAGGAAAAAGGAACCAATAATGAAAGGCTTTTGATCACAGCAGCTCTAACAAGGTGAACCTACAACATGGTTTTTAACCTCTGCTCCTAAGCCAGGCAAGGAGGGAGGCTGGCTAGAATTCTGATGGTGTCTTTAGCCAACTCATGAAAAAAAAAAAGATCCACATGGTCCTGAGAGAATTCAGTGTTCATTGTTATAGTCCTTCAATGAGCAACACAGACTACAAACCTGCCTCTTATCCTCTTTCCACAAATAAGGTGCTTCCAGCCTTGCCTCCCATCCTTAAGGAAAAGGGCAAGCAAAGACCCAGAGGTCCGGAAGGAGGGGGACCCCCGTCCTCTGGTTGTGTCTGATGGGACCTTCGCACATCCAGCAGAGGCTGCTGGCACATGGGCTTTCACCACCCCACACAAAGATGTACCCAGCCAAGAACAAAGACTTGCCAAACTATCACCAAAGCAATAACAAATTGCTCACCAGAACCAACCTCAAGATCTCGGTGAGCTCAACAACCCACTCAGCACCTCTGCTTTATCTCTCCCCCACCCCAGCTCTCCCACCAGCGTGCCCTCACAGTTCTTTCTTACCTGGGATGATGGAGACTGTGTCCTTCTCCCAAGACACGACGCTAACATATTCCTGCACTGAAGAGGGGATGAGGCACTTGAAGACGGCCACGTTTCCACGCATTGACCTTTGATCCTCCACCCGGACGGTGTAGGGTTCCCTGAAAACTGCAGAGAGATGGGGGGCAGGGAAGAGGATGGTGTCACAAGGTTGAACTGAAAAAGAAAACCAGCTCAACTCCCTCAGCACCCCCAGGCCTCAGTCTCCATCACCTCGTCCCCCGACTTCCCACTTACCCAGCCCAGAAGTCCCTGCCGTGATTTTATTTCTGCCTGTGCAGTTCCTTCTCCAGCAATCTCCACCCTGCTCCTCTGGGCAGCCCATTCTCCCTCTGAAATATTTAGCCATCCTCTGAAAGACCATAAACCCAACTGCTAACCTTTCCAATTTCGGTGAGTATTAACAAGTATACGATTGTAAGGACCTTGAGGGCAGCACCTAAACCCTGCAATGTGGTCCTATTCAACAAGGGGATGCATGGGTAATAAGGAAATATGCTAGAATTCCTCAAAGGAAACCAAACTTGATTTCCTACATTATTCCTGGGCCCAAAATGGCAACAGTTTTTGCCACAGTGACCATAAATGTCAAAATAAAAACTGACACATGACCTAACAACAGATTTTTGTCCACTCCAAAACAGTTTGGGAAAACGGAGTATATAAACAGAACTTTCTGGAGGGCTTAGTGCGTTTATGGGGGAGAATATTTGAAACTATCTTTGTCTCTGAAAATGAGGAACCCCAGAGACACAGAGAGTCTTAAAGATTCTCGAAAACAACGCTTCCTTGCTGCTTCCTCCCACCTCCTGAACTGCCTACACCAGACCCCCAGTCTTGTCTCTGCCTTCAGAACTGTCCCTCCCCCACAGTGCAATGGAAGCCTCCTGCCTTGGTCCCAGGGTTGGTTTCTGGGTGCTGTCACTTGAAGCCATTCTGCGTGTCAGGTCCCATGGATAGGCTGGCCCAGCCTTAGGGGTAGGGCCAAGGGATCTGGCTCAGCCTCTCCCTTGTCCTCCTCTGCTTGGCCTCTTCCAGGGGCTCACTCCATCCTTCCACCCCTTCTCTGCCAAGCAGAGCCAGAGCATCCAGAGCCCCACTGCCTACTGACCTTGTCACTCAGCAGGCACCTGGGCAGCAGGCTCTCCTGCTCTCCCTGCCATGGTTGCCAGGGCGACACTCAGGGCCCAACAGCCCCTCCGGCTGTGCACCTGCAGCCCCTCTGGCTTCATCAAGGGCCTGTTAATTGCTGTGTTTCCAGTTTGGTCAGCTCTGCCCAGCCCTCCCCAGGTCTTTATTCTTCCCCATCTTTGTTTTGTGACTGTGACGGAAAGTTACAGTTGAGGTGGGGGAGAGGAGTGGAGGGAGGCACTGCCAGCTGGGCTCTGTGGAGCCACGATCTGCCCTTTCGTGGGTTTGGGCATGGCACTGCCTGTGGCTGTGGGGAGCACACAGAGGAAGCTAAGGGAAGCTGACCCTGGAGGGAAGCAGAGGGGAGGAAGGGAACGGGCTGGGGTTTAGGTGCATACCACCCAGGATAGTTTCAGGGAGTCAGCAGAGGCCAGCAGTTAAAAGTGTCGAATAAGCAGGCCCTGCCTCCTCTTTTGAGCAGCTGTGTGACCTGGGCAAGAACTAGTTAACCTTTTGGAGCCTCAGCTTCCTCATCTGTAAAAGAAAATAATAATAATAATAATAATAATAATAATAATAATAATAATAATAATGGCAGCATGTAGAAAGCCTGGCACATGGAAAGCATTGCAACAATGTTGCATGCCATTATATCTACATCTCTGTGATTAACTGGCTACGTGCACTTGGGCAAGTATCTTAACCTCTCTTTGTCTTAGTCCCCTTATTTGTAAGAAACGCTTTATAGGATTGCATCCTAAACCAATAAAGAGCATGTAACAAGAAATGTGACATCACTTCCTCATAGCCCAATCCTCCAGGCTCCAATTTCTGGCCTCAGGGCTCCCCACCCGGTCCATGGTGTTGCATCAGGGAAACAGTGCAGAGGACTTACTCCTGAAAAGCGCTTCCCAGGAATGATACTCTGAGCATGGCCCTAGGTTCTAAGAACTCACACTCTCCCCACAAACAACATGGGATGAAGACCAGCTCTTTGATTAAGAACTCTTACCCCACCTGACCCCCTACACACACCCATTCCCAGCTACTTGGAACTTCGAACTTGTGAGAGGCACTCCTGAACCAGAAGGACCCGGGGAGTCAGAGATCTTGCAGGATCTTTCACTAGGCACGCAGGTTGGGAGTCCTTCCCCAGAACTCACTCTCCTCTACCAGGAAAGATGGTGCACCTAAGGCCTCGTGCCACCGCAGAGAGCTGGCAAGAATACTACCTGTCCTCTCCCACCCAAAAGGCTCTTCTAAGAAAAGCATTCCCCATACTCCAGTGCTTTCTTACTATTTGACACACATCTTACAACTGATGATGACACACCAGCGTATCATAACATCCTAGTTAAGAGTAGCTGATCTAAGCTGTTCTGTGCCTCCAGATCGAACCCAGAGAAACGAGACATTCTGTTTCCTTTAAAGAGGCCATCTGAGAAACCCTCACTTCCTTGACTCAATCAACTCTTCCAAGGACCAAAATCCTTCACTGCTAAGCGTTTTCCATCGTGAATTTTACCTAAAGGCCTGTTTTCTGAGATATACTATACTCAAATGTCCATCAATAGCGGAATGGATCAAGTACAGTACAGTTGAACAATAGAAGACTATACAGCAATGAGAATGAATGCCCTATACCTGCGCACTGCTGTTGGGGGTAAATTCCACAAACATCATAGTGAGCAAAAGAGTCAAGAGAATACATACTGTAGGACTCCACATATGCAAAGTGCAAAAATCGGCAAACATCAATAGTGTTAGAAGGCAGGACTGTAGTATTCCCTTAGGGGAGTGGTGACAGAAAAACGTATGGGGGGGGGGCTTCTGAGCTACTGCTGCTGTATATCTTGATCTGGATATTAGTTCAACTTTGTGAACATTCATCCAGCTGCATACGTATAATATAAAGCACTTCTCTTTATATATTCTATTTCAATAAAAAGGTGTTTTGTTTTGTTTTTTTAAAGAAACTCATTGGATGTTTTCCGTGAGTCGCACTGAAATGAGCACTTAATTTAAATGAGTGCTATCTTATTTAACCATCACAGGTGGTGATGAACAGGGTAGGTACTGGTGTCAGCTTTGCAGATGAGGAAACTGAAGCTCAGAAAGGTGTGTTCTCCTCTAAGGACACACACTAAGTGGCGGAGCTAAGATTCCGAAGAACAACACAACTTTCTTTGAGGGACTGACTTTTTTTTTCACCGTGTGTTCTTTATTCTACATCACTCATAGTAGTTCTACTTTGCTGATCAAACTTTAACTAATACAATGAGGGACTGACTTTTTCCAAGCCCCCCCCATCCCACCTCCCCCCTCCAACATGTTACACACATATCTTCAGAATGAAGGGTGCTGCCCGCTCCCCACTTCCTCCCTTCAGACCCAGCGCCCCAGTAGGGGAGCAGGCGTCTGGCCCCTCACCCACCTGCTTTGACGCGGATGTTGGGGCTCCGGATCTTGCCGGCAGCATTCTCCGCGGTGCAGAAGTAGTCATTGTCATGGATAAAGCTATTGAAGGCGGAGGGGGAGAAGGGGTAGAGCTGCAGCGTCCCGTTGGCGTGCACGTGCCGGATGTGCGGCACGTCGTAGATGTCGTCCCCCGTGGCCAGGTACCATCGAAGGGCCGCGCTGGGGGAGCCTGCGGCTGGGCAGGGCACCACCACCCCCACGGAGCTGGAAAAGGTCACCTGCTGCAAGGAGTCATTTACAAAGTAGAGGCTGGTGCCGACATCTTCAGGGCGGGCTGCAGGGGAGGCAGAGGAGAGGGCTCCGTCAGGCGTCAGCCGGGCTCTAATAATACCCTCCCAGGCCAGGAGACATGCAAAGCCCACACGCATGGAAGGGTCAAGCTCCCGTCATTCAGTCAGCACTTACGGAGCGCTGACTGTACACCAGGCACTGGCAAAGGGGAATAAGAAACAGTTCCTGCCCTACAGAAACTTCCAGCCTGGCACAGGAAAGGCAAAGGTTACAATGGAGAGAGGAGTCCGCCACTCTGCTATGGTGAAAGTTCTGACACCACAGTCCACACACATCAAGAGAGACACTGAAATTGCTTAGGTAATAAATATTTATTGAACAGCTACTATACGCGGGAAGGCTCAAACCCATTACCTCAGTTCATCTGCTCAGCCCTGAGCGGAAATGGTGTCACCTCTTTTTTATCATTCCCTTTTACATGCTGAGAATAGTTATGTGATTTGCCTGAGATGACATGGCCGGTAAGCTACAGAATTGAAATTGGGACCCTTGCTCCTAATAAGGATCTTAGTGCACTTCCTAGCATACTACAGCTGAAAGGTCAAAGGTCCAAGACCATGTTCTAAGAGGAATGGCTGCAGGAAGTGGGCATGCTTGCCTGGAAGATAAAAGACTGCAGGAGACCTTGAGAACTGTCGTCCACCTCTGGAGGTTGATTTGGACAATGCATAGTCGCAGAGGGCTGAATAAGAACCAGTGGTATTGTGGGTGGATAAATTCAAACTTGGGAGCCAGAGACCCACCCAGGTTCTAAACATGGCCCTGACATGACCGACTGTGGAATTCCCTTCCCCTCTCTGATCATCTGCTCCTTCGCTTATAAAATAGGGAGAGGATGGACAAGGCTCTAAGACCCCAGGCATCTCTGACATGTTGCAATTGCAACACTCAATCACACGAGAGAACATGCTCACAATTGCAGCTTCTTGGCAACGACAGGGCTGCCAGAGAGGGAAGACAGCCGTCTGCAACTTTCACACCAGCATAGGACCTCAGTCTTTCCTGCCCTTATGGGAAACAGCCCTGACTGATGAAATCAGCGTCCTCCCTTCCTACTAAGGAGCCTGCCCCCCTTAATAGGGGCCACCTCTGAGGCAAACCTAGAGGAAGAGAGAGCCTGGTCCCAGGTCTCCAGCTGGAAGCCACTCCCTCTCCACCAGGAAGATCAAGGAGCAAACAAACCACTCTGCTGCTTGGGGGACCCAAGTTGACCTCAATTTCCACAACTTTATGGGAAGGAAGAGGGCCCGCATCTGGACTATGTTAATATTCTTGGCTTAACTCTGAGCCGAGCCTCTAGGGAGAATATACCAGGCAGCTCATTGAGGGAGCCCATTAAGCCTCATTGGTCAGAGCAATTCACATCATCTCATAAAAAGCAGTGATGAAACCATTAGCAGCAGTGCTGGAAAACACATTCATGGGCTCCTTGCTGCGGTGTCAGGGCGTCCTCTTAGCAGCAAATGCATTTGCTATCCCCACCAGGCACTGCACCCTTAGTGGCTGATAGGATCTTGGAGAGGAGGAGAAGCTTTGCTTTTCCATCCTCCTCTTCATACTGCCTCCCCTATGACAGCCCCTGTGTTGGTAATTGAGCAAGTCTTTTATTTTTTTATTATTTTTTTATTGTTAGTTTCAGGTGTACAGAACAATACAATAGTTACCCTTTT